GATGAGGGCAGAAGAAGAATGAAAATCATCACCTTCTTGGTCTGGGAACCATGCTTCCGAACAAGTTGCGGCTTCAATTTGACTGGTAGCCATGAAAAAGATCCTGTGGTAATTTTATGTCATTTTCTCATACACGTCGCGAACAATGGCGAAGATTTCCCGTCCCCGGTAGCGTCGAGGGGTTTCTGCCTTACATCAACTTCCACTTTCCAGTCCCTCATAATCCCTTTTCAGTGAGAGAACGTGGATAACTCCAGGAAAGTGTTGCGATTGCAACAGATGTGAATTCTTCTGAGAATTCTGTGGATGGTAAACTGGAAATCAGCTGTTGATGTTCACTTGACCTTCGAACGTCTAGCATGATTGTCTTGTTTGGAGACTAGAAAAGTGCCGCTATCAGAAGAAGAGCGAGAATCTCTGCTCCAAGGAGCTTCAGCGAGGCAAATGCTTGCTCTTGAGAAAGACTGCCGTGCCTCGAGCTGTTGCAAAAGAGGGCGCACGCTTATCATCATGCAGCACAACTCTTTGCGGATTGGAGTGGGAGAGCGTTCAAAACGGACTTGAAGGTAGGCATCTCAAAGCCACGAGTCAGGACCACATCTTAAGAAGCAGTCCCTCCCAAAGTGAAAAAGAGGAGTACGTTCCGCAACACAGAGGCGTGAATGCGCGGCAACGGCGCTAAGGCCTTGCCTTGTGGGCTGCCGCGCCGCCATTCTTATCAACCGCGACCTCTCTGAATCCTAGAAGGATGCGATCAATCAAAAGCTTTCTTTCACGGCCAACAAAGCAGCGCATTCTGAGGTAGCTGTCGAAAGTCCTGTAAAAAAATGTCCAAAGAAATGGACGGATTTCACATGCATATTTTTTTCTCTTTTCTAAGAAAAACTATGATATAAGTAGGGGCTTTTTCTAGATATGTTTTTTGAATTGTCGTCCCTGCTCAAATATTAAAAAGACTGAACGATGTCTATCTCAAGCTCTGAAGCAATTTGTTAAGTGAAACAAAACACTGAACAGAAAACCATTCCAGCGGAAACTTGATTGCAACTCTTTACAGAGCACACCATCAAATATGGGCGACTATTTCAGGTACAGGGATACCCTCTTAGACATGACATCCCGAGGGGGAGATTTTACCTAGATGAGAAGGGAGAACCCTTGCACACCGTACTCCTGCAGTTCAGTTTTGTACTTTCAGTTACATTTAAAGGAGATGTTTTTGCGGTTGCCGCCAGAAGCCCCCTATCTTGCGATAGCGCCTCAGGTTTTGTATTTTTTGTTACAGAGGTAAGCTTGTGTGTAAAATGATAGAAAAAATAACAAAAAAAAACACATTCACACACATGGAAAAACCTCCGAACGAAAATAAAGTGCCGTAAACCTGGCAAGAGGAAGAAAAAAACGAGGAACCATCATGCTTGTCCAAAAAGGCTGTAAATGAACTGAATTGGCTGATGGATGCTCCCAGTCTGATCCCCCCCCCCCCCCCCGGACTCCAAACAGATCTTGTTAAAAAAGAAAATGGTGTCTGTCTACGTTTTTCCTGCGAGCGACCGGCTTAATAAAACTACCCCGCGTATTTGACTCCCTAAACGTAAACAAGCCATTGAAATTATAAGCAAAAAAGACGCTCAGCTTTCTGTAGAATTAAGAATGAGAGCGTGTTCCGAGGAGCAACCTAGAGCTGATTGTCAGAGAAGAACCACTAGCTGTGGCCGTCGTTCTATCTCATCGAAGAAAACCGAAATGCAAGAAAAACTGGTAGGTAAACACAAGCTTATCAATACAAAAGGCAATGGGTCAAGAGATAAGGGCTATGAAACGAGATTCAAATTCGCAGAATACCTTGGCTCATTGACCATCTTCACCGACACCGACTACCTACTTCTCTTTTACAATTTTGAACCACATAACACACAGAGGTTCCTTCTTCGTAGCGCTGAACTTAATTTCACTTTTACGGCCTAAACACTGATAAATGGTTGAAGGGCGTGGCCTTAGCCGGACCCGATAAGGGCACCTAACCTGCTTTCACTCCGAGCACAGAACACTCATTCCCCAGTTTTCCAATAGAACAGCAAATCGAAAAAAACCCTTCTGTCTTTAACGCGATCTTACCATGGTCTAATCATAACAACTACGTTGATTATGGATGTAAAGTAAAGAATAGAGCATACAGTACTGCTTGTATGCTGCTGTAGCCGTTACCAGATGGTATACAATTAGTTAGAGCTGATCTAACGAGTGGTTTGTGTCTTGGCTCCTTCTAGTCTAGATGCCTCTATTCTGGAGCGAATTGCTGTGAAGTCTGAAATCGCGTCTGGAGGTTAGGTCGCACTTATCTTTCCAGGCCGTGACGAAGGCGACATGGCCGGAACGTTGGCCATTAATCGTATAACTTCGTATAATGTATGCTATACGCAAGTCTCAAGCAATGCTAAGATTTTGTGGATAGTCGCAACATCTAAGACATACAGTGTTGTACTCCTTTTGGGGGAACTCAGTCGGGGGGCCACTCCATTTTTTCTCCAATACTCAAGATAAGGATTAGAGGGCTCACGACACGTAATCGACTCATTTAAAGTAGACTTCTGATAAATATTGGTGTAATGGGTGAGAAACCCTGAAACGTTTTCACATTTCCGCCTGCCATGACCCAAGGGAACGGTCCTGGACCAGGAGAAAGGACACCTCCGCAAAGGGCTAAGGGTGCAGGAGCTCCAGGGTGGATCACCTGTGCAGAAAAGTGGATGGGATGTGGGCAGGTAGTGTGGAATGTAGGACATCCACCGGTCCTTATCAAAAGTACGCTCGAAATGAGTCGTTCACTTATTATCTTATCCGTAGTGTTCGATAGCCCAAAGAACTGCTCTCTAGTACTACGGATAAGATAGCAATGGAGTGGCCCCCCCGAACTGGAGTTTTCACCCCTTTTGACATCGCCACGCATTGCACTTCCATTCAGAATAGAAGGGCCACTTGAATGTGATTTGCTGACTTGAGGGAGTCAACCGTATACAAGGCAGCGTTTTTTTTTATCATCCCAGACAACTTTGCTACCGTACCGTAGGGATAGAAGGCTCAGTTAACCCGACAAGCCGTGCGTATTCAGGGTATGATCATCTCTCCAACTATATTTCGATATAGCGTTCGGCTCTTTCAATCCTTTCAAGATGCGCCTCGCATTCTAACTCTATTCAAAATCGTGGTAGAATTTGAATGTTATACTACGCATACGGAAACAGGCAAGGTACAGACACCGGTGCTTCTGCCCAATAAGATGAATCTAACGCCGATTGGGGCCGAAGTGGTGTGGCACGCTTACCACGCGCGCGCTCCAGGGATCGAATCCCGGCCATGCGCTTGTCAGGCCCAACCAAAGCCTTTCATCCTACCCCGGGGTCGTAATGGTTACCATGCTTGAGGATTGTCTGGGAGGATAAAAACACTGACTTGTACATCGGCTGGCTTCCGCAAGTCATTGTATAGGCCATATCGCATTAAAACACCATACGGATGTACAAATGAATGTAGAATGCGTGGCGCATCCAAAGACGATATTGATCAACGGCATAATCCTTGCCTTTCTATTACTAAATGGTGAGACCCAGAAAGGAGGCAAAGCATGGTTTACCGAGTCGAATTCGTACAAGATTTGATCACGGACTAAGTACATGTGAAGTACCCAACATACCACAACACCACTCGGCCATTACAAGTCACCGATTGAATAATTGATAAATTAAGAGTACGCGCTGACTGCACTGACACCCACCAAAAGCCAAAGAGCGATACGATTGTGAACGAAGCGATAGCAAGAACCTTACTGGGAAAGTTTTCCATAGCTATCAAATCGTGTTGCCGCTCTTGAAAGGCCAATAGGATTTGACGCGTATTGGGCGAACGAGCTCCAGGTCTCACTAAAACGATCAGAAACCATCCACGATGGTTCAGAGAGTGCACTTAATTCAAAAAGGGTTTCAGTAGGCCTTTAAAGCGATTTTAAAGGTCCACTTCACTTCAGAGACATAAAAATCCAACAATACATCCATGTGGACCACACGACGGCTCAACAACATAATGGATGTCAAGTCAGTTTTAAGTCCTGTACAAGGGAAGGACCCAAAGACAAAGAGCCCGCTTGTAATGAAAGAGCGCTAGTTGTTTTAGAACGCTCATACCGTGTATGCAGTTTGCACCAGTGGTACGGCTACTGAGCGTTGGAAGGGCACAAGGGCAGCGGCATTCGTCTTGGCTTCTGGATGAAGTCCTGAGGTCGGTTTTAGCTAGTATTATCCGCCTGCTTTTTTTCACAAAACTTGTCTTTGAAATACGCGTTACCACGTTTAATCATTATTTGCATTGGATTGCTTTTTTGATGGAATCTTGCAAATTACTTCCTAATGAAGATGGGCGCCTAGCTTCTTGATTGCCTGTAGCGCAGCGCTCAAACACTCGACACTTTAGCGAACAAGCATAGTTATTCTTGTCCCACAGTGGCTCAGCTATGTGTAATAGCGTGTCGACTATCCCTATAGGCAATGTTTTAAGGTCGCAGTTGCCTATGGAACCGACCCACAGACCACTCCGCCTGCGAGCCAACCACCTCCCTTCTGCATTTCCGACCAGGTACCCTTTCCTTGTAGCGTAAGCCTAACCTGTTCCATCTATAACTCTTGTACGCCACAACACCAAAAGGTACACCCCATATATTTTAATAAGTTCATTGAATCACTGCTTTCAGCATATCTCAATAATCATCTTACAATATAGGAAAATATCAATAAATTGAGGTTAACAGATCTTACACCAGAAAAGTGAAAAAATACAACATTAATCTCAGTATGGCACAGAAGGAACACGACACTGATGTGCTCGAGGTGATATGGAGAATGATTGTGGAATAATTCGAGAAAGACAAAAAACGAGTTATAAGTTTTAGAATAAATAATTGCTAGTTGTCAGGATGAAATTGTAGCCGAAACACCTTGCGAGGTACTTCAGAGGACTCGCCCTCTCTGCACAACTGACTGGCAACAGCTCGATTCTCCATTGAATGCGGTTTCTATCGCAGTCTCTTCACGTCGACAGGACTCCTCGATGTAGCATGAACGGCACACCGCTTGATAAGTGTCCTGACCCGAATTACTTCCTACCTGTTAGAAAAATGTCACTTAATTCATTTCGTTGATGCAAAAAATATTATTCCACGACAAATCCGCAGAACAAAACCACACAAAAGCGAACCAACAAACAAACCGGAAAAATATTCTCTTGAATGTAGAGGGCTTCACAGAAAAACGGTTTCAGTTTCAGGTTTGAATGCACTTTCGATTGCCGTCAAACAATATGGAGGTTCTCAAGTGCGCACAGAACTACACATGAGAAGGACCAGCTTAGAATGTCGCGCACAGGCCAGACCCACTTGCTTGAATTACAAGCGTTTGCAGTTCTTCAAAATTGTAAATATAGCTTCCTGATCACGAAAAAAAAACTATGTGAAGCTGTAGCAGCTAGAAGAGCAGCAAAATTATCGAAGAGAAAGGTAACAATTTTCGAATGAGAAGTCCAGCTGTCTGCGCTTTGGACCCAAGGGTTTATTCTTATAGAACGGCCCAAAAAACTGTCATTTTCTCCATATTTCAAAAATTGACCCGTTTTTGAACGCTTGACCTAGTTTGACAGTCGCAATCACGAGAACTTGACCTCACCTTTTTGTCGAGAGTATTTCGGAAAGAATAGCTCGCATCCGAACCGCATCCCATGCACACGGCAACAACTTGCTTGATCTCATCGGCATATGGCAGGAGCAATGATACTTGAGGAAATGGCTGAAATGTGATAAAATATTGAATCAGACCAAATAGGAGTGAAATGGATGTTCGGCTAGTTTTTAAAGTGTTAGCTATTAAGGCAGGTTAAAGTAATCTAAGCGTATTGAATGCTGCTGCTGCAGTAATTAATCTGTATTTCTAGTAACATTTTACAGAGCATTCACCCAAAGGGGTGAGTACTACTGAAAAAAGAAGTTTTTTTTGTCTATCGAGAAGTCTATAACGGAAATGTCACAAAAGGGAAGATTGAGAAGAAACCTTCCGTTCGAAAGTGCCGCTCAACGCTGCTACATACACCACTTTGCCCATTGTTGCCAACCTGTCACACGTCTCCGCACAGTCGCTGAACTGAAATAATGAGTAATCGCAACCACATAAGGATGCCAATTCAAATTAAACCAGAAAAAAAGATATTCGGGAAGCAGAAAGAAACACAGAGAAACTCAGTACTTGCGCAGAGCAAAAGTGAATATTCATATTAGACAAACTGACGTTCACTAGTGAACAAATCAGTAAACGTCCAGAGGAAATAGCCGCGCTATGGACAAAGAAACCATGCAGACATTAAGCAGTCAACTATTTCTTGCTTCACTGTTGAGTGGGGCAGAGGCATAGGTGTCACCGCTTCCCATATTCCATGGGTCCTACAAGTCCTGTACAAAAATTTAGCACATTTTCGGTCGACTCCGTACATAACTATCCGTATAAGAAGATTGTGGCACTCCTAACGATCTCTACGTCACTGTGGCTAAATAGTTAGTCGAATGCCACTGATATTCCCAACAGAAGTTGGATGCATGGCGCGTCCTGGGAAGGGAAGCTATCGTGTTGATTAGGTCCCGCCGGCAATGAAAGAATGACTGCTACCCTGAAAATTCGACAGCTTTCTTCGGGGGTGGTCGGTATATGATTCGCAAAACCTAAGACCACTGCTTAAGTCCTTATCCATTACGGTAGATTAGAGGGCGGACCGCCGGATAGTCCTACAGAGGGTCCTACTTGCTTTGTGCAAAGTATAGAAGTGATGTATGTTTGATAGGCAAGAGTAAGAAAACATACCTCTTTAATAGGCAGTCGTCGGTACTCTGGAACCTTGCCCCCGCGTCGCGAACCTACATTTTTTAATACCCTTTATTGGGCTGCGAAATGAATTTGCGGTTTATATTACTGCTGGGAAGGCTCGTTGACACTTACTCAGAATTTAGAGAAAGAACCATCACAAAACTTGGAAGGGAATGAAAACGTGGTTCAAAAAAAAAGTAGAAAAAAGAACAGAACTAATGATGAAAAAAGACTTACAAATTGTCCTTTCATCGATTTGACAAAGGGGTTGTCACTGCGGATGAAAATATGCTCCTCGGATTCGGAAGCTGAAGTTATACGACTTTCACGGTGATACCTTGTCCAATCATCCTTAAAAGCTGCCAATCTGCACAACTCCTTCAAGTAGATCCCAAAACAAAATAGTTGAAATTGCATTTAACCCTCTCTAAAACCGAAAACTTCGAAAAAAAGCAGCATAATGGCAAAAATGGACAAAAGCCTGGATTCAACATTTGCAATGGCCAATTATGCTGAGAAAAAAATTGCAACGGTTCTCCATTCACAACTGCGAAACTCACTTTGCGTGCGTTGCAACCAGTTCAGGATCATATCTCGTATCTCCGGCGTACTTCACGAGAACACATTTTCGCTTCGCGATTATTTGACGATCATGCATGCGCAACAACTCAGTTCTAAACAGGAATTAGATTTCAGTTGATGTCGATAAATCTTTAATTCGAAAAATGAAGAAATTATTAAGCGGATCAGTTGCAGGGTCTCTAGGAAGAGCGGTTCTCAGTGGAAGTAAACGGTAAAATCATCCAGAAAATTCGAACTCTTTCGAAGATCAAGTGTCATCTACACTAACAAGTACACGAATTAGTGCGGGTACATAGCATACGTGCAGGAGTTAAGCCGGAGGCAGATACTAAGGTGAGCCATGCAAACGTGCGAACCCAGGAAAAGGCTGTTCTAAATCTAGAGAGACGGACATGAGTATCCATTATTTACTCCGTAGACTTGCTGAGTGCAGAACTGCAGCCAGCCAACAACCATCTTAAGCTATATGAGGCCTTTACAACATGTATGTTGTATCCATCTAGAGCTGAGAGAAAGAGGTCACGTCCAGAACTCTTTCTGGACAAGTGAAAAATTTAATTTCCGCATATTATTACTCAGCTCTCAAAATAGGAATGATTTGGCAATGATAAGTCAGTTCAAATCTAATGAAGTGGTCTTAAAAATTAACAAAGTTCTTACGTTTTGCCACTGAACATCGGGCCAAGTATGCAGGTAATCTTTCCTCGCAATGGACTCCGGCACGTAGGCATACCATTTGATGACATCGCCTCTGAAGCTAATCAGTAAAACCGAACGGTGACCAGGTGAAATCGCATGGACAATGCGACGAAACCTGACAGAGCCAAACATGCAGTAAATAAAGCAGAGCTCCAGCTCGCTTTTCAAAAGATAATTAGGCGCTCATTTCCTAAGGGGGAACATTCAGAAAAAGGTTTTAAAAACCGCTAGTATATGACGCTAGAACTCAGCTCAATAGAGGGGAGAAACGCCAGAGAGAGCAAAGCTTACTCACATCCTGCCCAAAATCCCTTCCCCTCTGAGACTTAGTCGATTTCTTTAAGTGCCCCTCTCACCTCAATGTCTCCACTAAGGAAATGAGCGCCGAATATTATTCATCTACAATGGTGTGTTCATGAACATCTTTTGGGATATGTGGGAGGACCACTGATCCTGTTCTACACTCCGTGAACCAGGATCAGCGATACGCCTCGACAGCCACATAAGTGAAGGGAATAGAACCAAGATGGGCTATTATTAACAGTTGTAAACGCTTAACAGGCATGTTAACAATGGTCCACGTAAATGATACAAATTGCGACGATGGAGACGAAAAAGGATATCGACTGGCATGCGGATGCATTATGTGTATGAAAGGAGAAGCATGAGGGTAACGAATCACACGATTTGAATAGTTTGGTCAATGTCAAATAAGGGAGTTTGGGCTGAGTATTTTAAAGATATTGAGACAGGAAGTTTGAGATCTCCCGACAGATTCATTCTTAGGTCTTCAGGCCGCCACGGAGAAGAAAATACGGCACATTTAACTATTCAACCCCAAATCTCAAATTTTATTTTTCGTCGAATATTGAACTGTATGGCGGGATAATTCTGGGTACCAGCTGCTTACAAAATGAATTCATTTTCGAACGGTTTGGGTCATCACGCCAGGGCGGGCGTCACCTGTCACTCGACGTTGTTTTCTCACAAATTTCGATGGAACTCCTGTAGGGGTAATTTGTATCCTTGATCGTACGATATGATATTCGTTCTTTAGCGCTTAGCTCTATTCTGGCGCTTTTTGTTCGTCTCGCCCTCCTAGGTGATTAGACCGCGATCAGACTAAGCTTAGGGGAGAGTGGAGGGCTACCGAGGAGTGGAGCCCCCATTCCTATGAGAGTTAAACCTCCATCTTTGGATTTACGATGCGCTGATTTATCCGTTCGCGTCTCTAGATACTCCTAATGTTAGTCCGAGCGTAGTTTTAGGTGAGATGCCCAGGAATGCAGGAAGAATGGCGGTGACAGTCTAATGTCAAACTACAAATGTATTATTCGGTTATATCAGAACTATCAGATAACCCTATAGAGAATTTATATAAGTAGTTTTAGTTCCTCAGCTCCGACCAAGATTGTCAATAGCTTTATTTGGCCGACGTTTCGGTGCTTTCACCTTCTTCAGAGCCTGGAAAAGTCGAAAGCTATTTAGGAAACTACCCGTCCAAACACTATTTCAACCTACAAGATTCATTCAACAGGGAGTAAATTACTAAAACAATGTCATGGAGGGAGATGAGAACGAACCTTTAGAGATGCTGGCCAGAGAGGGTATCTCTAAAGGTTCGTTCTCATCTCCCTCCATGACATTGTTTTAGTAATTTACTCCCTGTTGAATGAATCTTGTAGGTTGAAATAGTGTTTGGACGGGTAGTTTCCTAAATAGCTTTCGACTTTTCCAGGCTCTGAAGAAGGTGAAAGCACCGAAACGTCGGCCAAATAAAGCTATTGACAATCTTGGTCGGAAGCTCAGTACTAAACTATTCTATTCTGAAAATATGCCAAGATTATAATAAGTCGCTTGGACACTTTACATTGAATTTGGTGAAAACATGTGTCGTGACAAGGTGGCGCCAACTGGCGCCAGATGGCGCCACCGTCAAAAATGAATGTCATTTTCGTAATCAGGGCACCGAATTACCCCTATAGGCAAAGTTTCGACGAAAAATAAAATTTTGAGATTTTGGGGTTGTAATAGTTGAATAGTGCCAAAAATACTTATAACATGACTGGTGTGAAAAACCACCTATTTCGCTCATTTATGTTGAGCTTTTCGCTGACCTCAAAAACCAGCACTCAAAAAAAAAACGGCGAAAAATTCAAAAGCAATTGTTAAGAACGCCATGAAAAACGTTTAGCAAAACTGCGCCGATCAGTTCAATTATGTCAACACAGGTTCCAACGCGTATCAACAAATGTGTACGAAATGTACCACTGCCATTTTTTGTGGCTGTTTTTTCCTTCAAAATTCGCTGAGAACTTCATTTTAGATACTAAAACAGAAGATGAACTTTACTTAATGCCACACACTTCGTAGATTTCATATGAATGAAAAAAGGTTTCAGCGTGGCACATTCGGCGTTGATCAATCAATTTTTGAGATGCGCCATGCACTCCGCTTTTAAACGGAGTCGAATAACATTTGAATGCAGTAGGCCAATGCAATGACTTGCGACCCAGTCGATGAGGAAAACAGCTTCCACATCTCACCAGACAAACTGGAAGCCATGGGATCGACCGAAAAGAAGAATAGTTCGGTTTTCCTTTATAGGATTCGACCCATGACACGTAATTCCAACGGGATCTCTCGCACGGAACTCTAGGAGGGGCATCAATTCTTGTTAACTGCACCCGTCTTTCGGGTTTTAGCGTATCAAATGTAATTGGAAAGTTTAGTTTGCAGCAAAGATGCATGAAAAAACGGGTGGCAATAATGAAACGAATGAGCTCGGACCTAATCTCTTGTCTGGCGCCAATTGGGCGTTTAAACCACACCCAAAGACGCTGAACGGGC